CTCGATATCGCAACCGGTGCCGATTTTCTCACTCGAGTAGTCTGTATACTTCGTTTGAACTATCGTTCTCAGGCAATGCTAGTGGAAGACACTCCGTGTTGTCTGCGTCCTCTGTGCATTTGGATTTGCATTGGCTTACTGGACCCATCGCCCATACGCGAATCTTCATTGTAAACGAAATGTCCATGAGCATTCGTCTAAATTGTTAAAAGAAACCTCTCTTCATCATGATTCAGGCTGCCATGTTTGCTCTACCTTCTGCAGTTGTCTGTAAGCGGACACTGACGTAGCTTAACCTCTAATTTTCACAGCTGTATCCACTAATCACGGGGATCGAAATTCCCTATGAACGATACCGTTTCAAAATACTTCGTTTTTTGCAATTCTAGCGGAGAAACCAATGGATTTATTAATTACTTTCCTTCGAGACGCTCCATCCCGTAAGTATTTGTAGTTTATTACTGATGGTTCGACGATATGAAGCAGTGGAAAGTACATTGAAAAGTATCCTACCTATGCTAAGCACATATTTACATGTCACCAAGGTTAATCTAAAATCAAGTTGTAACTGGCTTTCTACCAAAACTGATCGTACCAGAAGATATCTTGATACTTCGAAGCCATTCGGCATTTATGATAGTATGCTAAATTAACGAAGACTTGTTTGATGCCCTTCTATCATACTTTTATATGTCTACTACTTTCACCCGTTTTCCAGCCACCTGAATGCAATTCAGACGCTTACGCCTCATCTTCTGCGTTATGTCGTGGTTTGCGTCGTGGTGAGCACAGACAAGAAAAAGAAGAAGAACCAACTACGCGATGTGGTCCATCTCATTCAACAGGAATCCTACTCCTATCGGGACCCGATCACGGCCTTTCTCGAGTGCCTCTACGTCAAGTTCGACTTCGACGGCGCGCAGCAACAGATCAAGATTTGCGAAACGGTATTCATTTTTTTGGCCGCTAATTACTGTCTGGACCTGTTATCATAATTAAGCCGAAAATTTGATTTATAGGCCAATGCTATGCTGTTTTCTTTAATTTTTCCGAAACCTTTCTCACTTAATCTCTTGACAATTTTCTCTACCAGCAGAGGACTTGTTGAGCAGTCTAGGTTAAAAACTGCCGTGTTTAACGAGGTCAAACTTCTTGTATGACTGCGTGAGCCCCGGGCTGCTTGAGTTAGGGGTTCAACGTTCCGTCTTCAACTCATTGCAACTGAAAGACAAACATCACTTCAATTTGAAGTATCGGTTAGAAGAACATAACACTTTCAGACATGTCTTACATTATCCAGGGCGTGTTCTAGAGCTTGCTGTTGGTTTGCAATTGTCGACGTAACGTCCTGCGACTCGGATTGCGTGTTCTCTATCTCATTTTCATGCATCTGCGGGCCGTTGTGGAAACCCAGTCCATCAGTTAGTGGCGTCTTCGAGAGGATGGTTTGAAGGCGGTCACTGAAAAGACCAAAGTAGTAGTCATCCTCTTAAACACCCCCACCGTATTCTCCTTAGGCCATCGGCCACCTTGAAGCGAATATTTATTGCCCTGCGGTAACGAGTCCACTTGTCGGATAGGTCATGCAGGCGTCGCTGAAAAGATGTGCAGAAGGTTAAACTTGCTGAACTTCTGCATGCGATTGGTTTTACTTACAAAACAGATGCAGTAATTCGGGTCAACAGACGAATGGGAATTAAAGGAACTAAAACAGCAACTGCATCAACAGAGCACTTAAATCAACAGGTTTATCAAGCTGCCATTCATTAGCATATGTCTAGAGTTAACTGTTTTTGCCTATTTTCTCCAGGCAGTCGACAATCTGGGAAACCAACTTCAAAATATACCCAATAAAGTTTCTTACTTTTCTCAAGGAACATATCTGTCCACACATGCATGTTTATATTATACCAGGGAACCAAATACCTTCTTTGGTACCGCAGGTCGTCGTCAGACATTCTTGCTAAAGTGACAATGCAGAAGCTAGAATCTACGTTTCTTCCATTAGTTAACCCTTAGCATGTCTCTTAAGATGGCTTTGAGTGAGGCTCCGAAACGTCACGTCAGCAATTACTTCTCTGAGCTTGAGCACTTTACTGGCTGCTGTTGTTTTTGGTGAATTCGGTTTTGCGCTTGTAAGCCACGTAGAAGCTGGGAGTTTGGACAGATTCCGCCTGCAACTGCTCCTTCACATATTCTCATGGGGCGAGATGTATTGCTGGAGTAAGTTGACTGCTGTTCAAGAAGGTTAAGAGATGTCTACCATCGTGAATTCGAAACGATTAAATTAACACAGTCAACAGCCTGGCCGTTGCCACCTATGCCCGACTACGCAAATAAAATAGTTATTGTATGCAGACTTAGAGTAGCTGTGCCCCATTTCTAATTAGCCTTACGCCCAACACAGGCTGACCCAAGACTTGCTGGAAATGACCCATTTGTCACTTCATGCCATTTCCACTTCCCCAACGGTCTATACAGACTGCCCACATCTTACTGACTGACTACATCCTTTTATCGGGCGTATAGGCTGGGGATCTGTTCTTTAAGAGACATGTTCTTCTATCGGTCCTTTGAGCATTATTTTGAACAGCTTCACAGATTTGAACCTATACGTTTTGGGGCCCAACGCCCATAATCCCTCGTCAACACGTTTGGAATAGTGCCGTTTTCTTGCCTCGTATCGCTCGTCCCCCTTGTGATAATTTACTTTCCTTTGTTGTCTTTTAAGATTTTTGGTACTAATAATAAAGCTAATAATTCCTTTCTTGTTCAAAATCTGTGCAGGTGATTCCAAATGATTTCTTCCTGACTGGCTGCTACGAAGATTTCATGGAAAACGCCCGCCTGCTCATGTTCGAGGCCTTCTGTCGCATTCACAATTGCGTTGGCATAAAGTAAGCCTTTGTTTCCTTTCCTTTGCGGTCTTTCAGTCTGTCCATGGGGTAAAACAACCCCGTGTTCTTTACTTCTGCAAATCAGAATTAATTGAATCCTATTAGTCGCTGGCTTGGCCAGGTTTTCTGCATGTGCGAGGTGAACTACTGCGGCGTGAAGCTGTCAAGCAAGGTCATCGCAGGATGACCTGCATGTGTTGTGTACCCCTAAAACGGGCCACGCGGTAGACAAAGTGGGGGATGGGGATGGGAGGAGGTAAATCATGACACAATACGCTTTATTCGGGCTGCTCATCCGTAACAAATGCTACACAAGCGGTGATGGGGGGAGGTGGTGCGGGTTCCCGCCGCGCCAGTCACCTGTGCCCTCTCCCTCCTCCGGTATTCTCATCTCTGTCATGACATCGGGTCCAGGGAGGTGATGCAGGAGAGAGTGCGATAGGTGCATTGCGAGTGTGCTATCAATATGAACTAATTCACACCCAAGTCCCTGTGCCTGCCATGCTGCGGGGCACACGGTAGACACGATTGTTCGCGGCAATCGAACCGTGAAACAAAGGTTTTCATCCCACTGAGTGATGGCTTGACACGACCGTCTAGCACCTGGATTAGATAATCGAGGCCCTCGCCCCACCTCCCGTCAGTGGGCGTTATTCCCACAAAGCATGCCTTTGCAGCAAGATTAATTATGCACCATATGTCCTGCTGTTCCGATCTTTACACCAATAAATGTTATTCGCGATCTCTTGTGTAGTATCTAAAGTAATGTGAAACAATTGCAGTTGGAGCCTTGTGGTCCGAATCCCAGTCTATACACTGATGAGGAATTCGGTAACTCTTCCATTAGTTGCGCTGGGTAGGTTACCCAAAGCGGGTTACGCTGTTATTTTAGACCAATAAAAGAGCTACACAGGCTCGTGACTCAAATTGGTGGAGGAGTAAGATCACACGTCTTATTGCGTCAAAGCTTATCCTCGACCGGCGACTTGGGCTCGCTATTGCTATTTGCTGGGAGGGTGCGCCCGACCCATCTCGGACCATAAACCCGAAGCGCTTTAAAATATCCTGACGCGCAAAGGGCTGCGACTTGGGAGGATGTCAACTGACGAGTTAACCTGTTATTTCCTCGAATTGAGGATCTGTTTGTAGCAAATCTCTCTTAGTATGGGCATTCCAGCAGCTGGCCTTAAAGGTGTAATGCCTTCTCGTTGCAGTTTGGTTTCCAGTGGAATTAGTAACCAGATCATTTGGGACACGCGTAGGCGGGCTATTTGATTCTGTTAACCATTGCGTATATTCCCATCTCGGTTCGATAGAAGGCCGGTAGGAAGAAGTGAATTCGATCTGTCCGCTTCGCGCGCCAGCCATAATTACGGTCGCGCCATGGTAGCCAACTAATTTATGGCGATCTGTTCCATGCACTAGGCCATTTTATTCTTGCCTTGTATGTTTATTTTTTTCCAGCGCCAGTTATGTGCCACGGGGTTCTCGGTACGACTTAGATCTGTGTTGTTCGTAGACAGAAACTTTCGTCGGCTCAGAAATCACATTTTTCTGGCAAGACATGCAGAAATGAGCAATGAGCAGCAGCATCATCTTGCTGAATTGTCATTTTCATTCAGCGTCAGTGGCAACCTCTGTGATTTTTATCAAAAATTTGCCGTCGGTAGTGTCAGTTTTTGACCGCGAGTTCGGCTGCTCTCCAGAACTGATAGCCATCCAAAACTTCAGGTGTAGGTACTCTATGTTGTAATTTTGACAATGTCTTCGTGGGAAATTCCCTCCGATTCCTCAGATCAAATGATAAAAATGGCCCTTTTATGATCATTAGAGTTTAGTAAATAATCAACAAAAACATTCCGTTTACTGCCAACTAGTTACTTTGATTTTGGTCACGACAAAACTCACGCGGTTTGTTTAATGGCGAATGCAATGCATATAATTGGAGCGCAGTATACTCACACGAACAGGTTGACGCCTTTAGCAAAAGTCGAATAGGCAGAAAATTGCAATCAACAACGACCTCCTTCATATATATGTAAACTTCTGCTTTATCCAAAAATGACTTACCCTCCTCTTCTCAGCATGCTGGCCGAGAAACTGAACATGAATGTGGACGACGCAGAGAGCTGGATTGTGAATCTGATCCGCAGCGCTGACATGGACGCCAAAATCGACTCTAAAAAGGTAAGCTCATGTTCCACTTTCTGTGGCTTTCTTCTTCCCACTGATTTTCCATCCCACTGAGCCGAAGACTACCTTCCTCGATATACTCTGTTTGTCGACGTTTTGTCTTTGATTACTTTGTAAGGATTACTTAAAGGGCCCCCTAAATCGAATCCGAAAATAGGAACGTCCAGACCAAGTAATAAAGGCAGCCCTGCGCATCCTTCCAAGAAGGATAAATATTGCCGTGTCCTAATCCCAACAGTTATTCTAACATAGGCCTAGGCTTAACCTTAAATTTAACACTAATAACATACCTTAACTCTTACTTTTAAATATAACTGTAAACCTAACCCTACTTTCCCTGGAATTTGGGGCCAAGCTGTTTCTGTTTTTATGTCCTGCTTAGAAAGACAGTCTTAGTGACATCTGGGGGTTTGCCCAAATTTGCGAGAGACCTCTAGGAGAGAGGGGGTGGGAGAGTGGACAGTTTTGCCAACAGGCTACCAATTCAATTTTGATATTTGAATCAGAGCGTTTTCACGCAGGCATTTCTCATCTCTTTCAATTGGAATCTTTAGTGTTGGCTGTTTATGCCGGGTTCGTCAGCTTACTTGACGACATGCGGTTAGAACAGTCCACTGTCCAGGTGTTCCCTCTCTCCTTTTCTGACACAATTAATCGTTCTGCCTTTGTCCTCATTCTCTAGGGTCTGGTGTTTATGGGCACGCAAACAGTGTCACCCTACCAGAAGGTCGTCGAGAAGACGCGCAATGGGGCCTTCACCGCTCACAAGCTGCTGGATCGCCTGAAGGGCATGAAGTTGGAGGGTGAAGCGGTAAGTTTAACCACCGCCACCACTATCCCCAGCCCCTTTTCTTCTCTACCCTGTCTACGAAATTCCTGTCTGTGCTTTGTCTGTAAACCCCTCGTCCCCCAAAGTTGACTGGCTACAGTCGTGAGAGCGGCCGGTGCAAATGCCGCTAACAATATTCATTCCAGCCTGCTTACATTTCGCAGTATCGTTTATACCGACAACGTATAATTGGTTGCAAACTGCGAATTTCTAGTTCGACTGCAATGTCCTTAGCAATATTATTTTACCCGGTCAAATTAACGTTTAATCAGCTGTTGGTGAATACTACCATCAAAAAACCAGGGGTTACTCAAAGGACTGCTTGTAAGTTATTTAACCCCACTAGCTTGCCACATCACAACCTCGGCAAAGTAGGCCGCGGGGATTCAACTGCTAGTGTTTTGTCCCAAGGACTGGTTTATCTTCGGCGTTACGGCTGACTGAGAACAACCCAAAAACGTCTGCTCCTTGTTTTTTAATACTACATCTTCATGATTGGTCGCTTATCGCTATGCGACCGGTTGCCTAATTGAGCACTTTGGGCAAAGTTTTAGGAGTCTAGACGCATACTGCGGGTTAGTCTGACAAACGCAAAATCAATTTCGTTTTTTTCTGTAACCCTCAAAAATGGTGTTTTCTATCCTGGCGTATTGCACAAGTTGCATGCCCCTTTCTGCTGCTGTTGCAATTCAGTCCACTGTGTCTTCCCTGATTTTTGTCCTCTTTTTTGCTTTTCTAGTGGTCCCTATCCGTCCGTTAAAATCGCGCTTGTCACCACCGTCCCCATCAAAACAGGCGTCATGGACATTTTGTACTTGCTGGTCGTGTGTTTTTGATGACTTCTCATCTCAAAACAGATTGTCTCCTCGTGCCTTTGTTTTCTTTCCACATGCGTGCGGTGCGTTACCTACTTGGCAGTTGAGCGTCGCCTGGAAAGCATGGCTGCAAAAAAAACTCAGGGCAGGCACTCTGCTGTCGGGATTTCCGGTCCTCGTACTATTGCAGCGTGTAAGCAGTGGATG